TGCACACCTCTTGTCCCATCCATGCGCGCTACATGCCCAGCCCATCTCATTCTTCTCGACTTAATCACCCTGACAATTTGGGGGAGGAGTACAGATTTTTAAGCTCGTAATTATGCAGTTTTCTCCATGCCCCATCGTCTTCTCTCCTAGGCCCAAACATCTTCCTCAACACCTTAAATCTGTGTTCCTCCCTCTGAGTGAGAGTCCATGTTTCGCACCCATACAAAACAACAGGCAAAATTATCGTTTTGTATACTTTAATCTTCAGGTTCTTAGAAATCAGACGGGAAGCCAAAATATTTTGAACTGAGAAGTAACAAGCATTCTCAGAGTTTATATCTGACAGAGACGCGTAGAGCTTTTACCTGGCAGCCAGCGTGGTGAGCAGCTCCAGGCCACTGAGCAGGAACTGAGCGGCCGATGGGTCCCCGTCGATCGGGTCCCTTACACTGCCACAATACACGGCCAGTTTGTCCACTACACCCACGCTCACCGTGTAGCTGAAACAGAAAGGTGGCAACTGCCTTCATCTGCTCCCAACAACACAGCCTGGCAACTCATATACAATTACCTATAATAAATTCATATTATTATTCAGTGTTCTGTCTGACGACAGGTCCATTGCTTTGCCCAAAAAGAGCTCTCCAGTTTTCCCTATTCATATAATTTTGTTTAATTAACAAATTGGCTCTGTTCTGTGTTCACACAATTTTGTTCAATGACAGTTTGAAACTTTTGTATTTATATAATTTTATAAGCTGGTAAAGTTGCGTCATATTGTGATATAATAAGTATATATTAAATCTTGTCCGTCTAATCACAATAATTCTTATTAAATATTAAAATATTACAATAATTAACATTTAGAATATTTAATGATGTTCTTTATCGAAATATTCGATTTACATTAGACCATCATTTAATATTTTAAATGTTAATTATTGTAATATTTTAATATTTAATAAAAATTATTGTGATTAGACGGACAAGATTTAATATATACTTATATAATTTTGTTAATTAATAGTTTGACACTGTTTTGTGTCCATATAATTCTGTTCCACAGAGATTCATTCAAAGGTACAATATCAAAACACACAATATCATGCTATTACACCCGAATTTGATCATTCCCCTCCACATCTTAAGATCCATTTTAATATTATCCATCATTCTAACCCTTAGTACGCCTATACCATGTGATCCCTCCAATTAAGTTTCGTGACTAAAATATTCCGGCATGCTTAGGCTAATTCATCGACAGATCATGGTTTAAGTTGCTGCAACTCAAAATTCCTGGCTTTGGCTCTTTGTAAAAGTCCAGTTTTTCAAACCGTACAGACACCTAAATCATTACCCAAGTTCCCGAAAGCCGGAGATCTGATATCTTAAGACACATGGAACTGGATAGTCACGTGTTCCGGTGTCACGTGCTCCACTACTGACCTCAGCAGCGAAAAACCAGAGACTAACCTAAGCTACGACACAGCCGTTCCCTTTAACTTTCAATTCATTTCGATTACGAGTTTCCAACTTAGGTTACGGAATCATAATTTTAATTAAACTGAACAAATTGAAAAGCATCACCGAATGTCAATAAACCTTGTCACAGGGACAGCGTCTCATTGGCAGAGGGACATTCTCCTTCACCAATACAAAACCCGAGTCCAGGAGACGGCGCACTGGGACCCTCTGTCTGACGGACAAGTACCCTCTAGCAACTCTGACTTCACGATGACCGCTACGTTCTTAAACTTCCATCACACACGTTTTGACGATTTTCAATAGCCACTGTCACCACCACGTACACACTCTGACGGTTCGAGAATCTGCTTAGTTACAATCGTTAGAATATTTACTTTCCAATTAGCAAAAGTGTCCGGTAAGTATAAGCAATTTCTGCACCGCGTAAGTTTACAGAGTAACACGTATTTAGGTTTACTTTTATTCTCATAATTACTGCCTTCAGACTGAAGTGACTGTCTACTGCTGAAGACGCCATAAAATATTCGATAAGTAATACAAAAAAACTGCATTCCTAAAACACAGGGGCAGATAAAAATACGTACCGGATAACAGAAAATACTATTATCGATTAATATTTTAATATTTTCCGTCAAATCACAATTTTAATAAGATAATAAAATATAAAATATTTAAAATATCATTTCACGTTCCGCATTTCGATTAATATTTTAATATTTTCCGTCAAATCACAATTTTAATAAGATAATAAAATATAAAATATTTAAAATATCATTTCACGTTCCGCATTTCTCTAATGTAAATCGAATATTTCGATAAAGAACATCATTTAATATTTTAAATGTTAATTATTGTAATATTTTAATATTTAATAAGACTTTATTGTGATTAGACGGACAAGATTTAAATAATATATATTTATTACATCACAATATGACGCAACTTTACCATCTCATAGAATTATCTGGATGAAAGCTCATTTCGTTAACAGACCCTAAACAAACGTGTATCCAAGACCCGCGGAAGACATTGAAGACGCAAGTTGCGATAGTTTAATCCACTTTACATGAAGACAGCAATGCCAGCCCTTCTACGTTCATCTCCCACCCTCCTCAGCATCGTCGACGGGGGGAGATACCCTCACTCACTGGTCCATTTGCCCCCTCAATTTACGCTGCATATGGAACAGAGAAGGCTCCACTGTGTTATAGGGTAGACTCTGCATAGCGAAGTGGGCGTACCTATGAATTTTAATGAAGTCTCCGAAATGATATTCATAATAACGGTAGGGATATGCCGATCCGATGCAGTGCGGTCGTGGAATGGGTTACGAAAGTCCCCACTGCATACGATGATGGCACAGTGGTGTTCAGAATACATTAGCCAAGTTCGCCACTGCTTGTAGGGACACACACAAATCAGATCGCAAAACTCATGGACCTACTATCATGCTATTAAATCATCACTTTAACGCTGTCAACTGCAAAATGGAAATTGAGACCAGAATTTGCACTATAATGTGGTTGTCAACTATGAATGCAGACGGAATGAGAAAAAAAAAATTTCGAACTGATCAATGGATCGGATAACTGCAAAACACAATTTTCCTGATTTAAATGTTCCAGATACATTCACGGCTTTGTGGTGATTATAGAACAGATTACTGAAATATCTCGCATCTATCAAAACCATGACAATGGATGCTTTGTTGAACACGGGCAATGGAATCATAAGTTGAACCGTATGAGCTAGTATGAGAGCTGAAAAGAGGACCACATTTTACGCCACGCAGACGCAAACTAACACACATTTTCAATGATCTGACATTAGTCTACTCAGCGGTACACCGTATCGTCCGCGAATTTAAATCGATTCCTGCCAGGCAAATGTCAGGACGGTATTCAAATTAAACCACATGTGCTCTTTTCGGAACAGCTGACTATAGGACTGCTTCATCAACTTTGCATGAGGACGGCGGGCGAGAGTAATGGTAACACGTCTGACTTCTTTTTGCGAATGATCGAGGTCGAATTTTGATCGACAAACAGAATTCACCTGAAGGGATTCCACCGTTTTCCTCAGTCTCTCCAGACAGATTTCTGGATACTTTTAAAACTACCCGAAATTTCATCCGTCTTGTTCAAAATTCTTCGGTCCTCGCGTTAACTGGTTACAGTAGTAAACCGACGTTTCGGGAACCAACTCTGTCCCCATCATCAGGGTTCTGATGTGACTGGAACCTCCAGGTCCACCAGGTCCTCCAGTCACATCAGAACGGTACCAGTTAACGTACGTGATTGCCCGAAAAAATTTTATTAATTAACTATAAAGCCTATCAACATTTTTGTAAAAGTTACTCAGCGATAAAACATAGATCTCTCGAAGACACAAGTTTTAAAAGTACCTACTTCCTTTTATATAACGAGATGCAAATAGAAATGTATTTACAACTACTCTGTGTAACGTGCAGAGTGAAAATTTTTGTTAACAACCAATTCATGTCTGTAATAAGTAAGCATCGATGCTAACAAAGCAGACAATATGAACGCGGTTCATTGGTTGACGCAGTAACTTCGATAACAAACAGGCCACGGTTTCGATTCTGTCACCAGCAACACAACAACAACATCAAGGAATTAAATATTTCGGTATATTAACTCCCGAAACGTCGAATGTATATATTTATGTCTTTAATAGCGCTGTTACCGGCTCAGACTTTCTCCCTCTTACGGTCACATGCATTCAGAAATATTTTGGAAAAGTTTTGAAACGTAAAACTAGGCCAAAAACACGCAGGCTTCCTCTCTGGAGGCCACATCACCGGTGATGACGTCAACAGGACAACCAAGGGCATAACAAATGCAACAACGTGACCCAAGATCACTGTTAAGGCTTTGACCGGGATGTTCTTTTGTTAAATCTTATGTGGTACCGCCTGATTCGACTTCTAATGGTTAAGTGAAGTGTTTTCTTCGCGGTACGGTCTGGATTCGTAAATATTATGAAGACGAGCTTCGGCTTCAAAGGGTTAACCAGCTGATTTTCGTAATGGTGAGGTGTAGTGTTTTCTTCGCGGTACGGACTGAATTCATAAATAATATTCAGACGATCTTCGGCTTCAAAGGGTTAACAACAACGTATAGGGCTGACAGACGGGCCCATAAGATATTCTTCGCTTGTAATAAATTGAAAAGAACAACTGAAAACGGTTTCATTAATTTATCATCCAATAAGTGTTCCTGGTGGTCCACAAACTCTGTTCACAAAAGGATCCATTCAATCAGTATGCGCGTGACGTCACGTCCTCTGACGGGAGCCATCCGCATCCAGATCTGGAGCAATATATATTCCAAGTGGATCTGCCGGGAATGTTATTCATACAATCTTTACATTAAAGCGGGAGCCGAATTGAAAGTTCTATGTATAAATAATAAAAAAAGAAAAAACTAGCTACCGCAAACTCATTCGTAATGCAATTTACGTGATGTTTACTCATGGAGTTTGGCGGCAGACGTGACCTGGCAGTCCGCTGAATGCAGAAGGGGTTGCGGGATTCTGTCGATCAACTCCGAGGGAACTTCAGCTCACTTCAGCAAAGTCTGCGTTGGTCAAATACCTCAATCGATCATTTCCAAGACACAGACGCGCTATTAGACGAAAATTATAAGACCGTCTGTGTCTTCCTGTCTTTAAGTCAGCCGAGTGAATGCCTCTAAAAGGCAAAAAGTAAATCAGTCCCATTACACGCCATGTATGCGCTTAGGGGGAGAGGTGGTATAGATCCTATTCATTCTTGACCTCGGCAGTAGATGGGGTGAGTGGTCAGCCGCGCTTTAACCCCGGGAAAGGATCCCGGTACCCATTGTATAGGAGCTGGGTGGGACCCAGAACCAGTCTGAATGCAGAGGCTAGAGGAAAAAACCCTCTTCCGTGCGCCTCCTTGGTCTTCATTTTAATACCCACCATCTTCAATCGCAGTTCTTGAAAAGTTAATAATACGCTCAGCTAATAACTA